ATTAATTGATAACATAGTATATGTTATCAAAATAAAATAAATATGTTTAGTTTGGTTCGTAGCATGTCGTGAGAATCCGAACTCGTTCACATGCTTAAAATTTCTATTCATTTATTGTTCACATGCATAAAATTACTATTCATTTGATGACAATTTAAATAATTTTTTTTTGTGTGTTTTTAGGCATTCATATTCAAATTTAACACTTTTTTTTCTTCCCTCATGTTGTAGCTTTTTTTTTCAATCCTTAGCTTTAATTTTTCTTTTATTTTCATGTAGCATATATAAACACACATACACTATCTTTTTATATTCTTAAATTAATATATACCTCAGTTTATATTACTTTTATTATTTAAATTTTATTATTTGAATTTATCATTTTTTATGAAAATTTTCATCCAATTAATATTTTTATATGAATTTTATTTATTGATAAATATAATTTAATTTTCTCTATGTTTGAATTTTAGAATAAAATTTTAAAGCATAATTTTTTTTCTTTTCTAAAAATAAATTGGTATAATATATGTCATGAATTCTTAAAATTTTTAAATGCTAGTTGCATATATATATAATTATTTTATCCTAAAAAGTTAAAAGTGTATTTTAAATAATTTATCTCGAGTTCATTAGGTCCGGTCAACATGTATAAAAAAAACTATTGAATCATTAGTTTTATTAAAAATTGACTATACAACTTTCAACATACTACAAATTATTTACTATGAATATTTTTTTAATATTATAGAATTAATTTATTTAAAATAAAATAATTAAAATAATTTTTTAAAAGATCATTATTCAAATATATGTCCTTTGTTTTTTTGTTTTTGTTGGGGGGGGGGGGGGGGGGGCATGTGCCTAGATGCGATTGTACACGTCATTTGAATTTTTTTTCACGAGATGGTTCTCGGAGGTTGCGGCGCAAGCTAGAGAGGCTATATAAGTTCAAATCCATCTCTCTCACCTCATTTTCCCATTTCTTTAGGGAAAATCTTCTCTTTTGACTTCAACAATTCTCTCAAAAGCATTTGTCCAATGAGGAGAGAGATTTTGGTGTTTTCTTATAACTCAAGGGATTTTACCTTCATAAGGTTTTGTTAGGTTAGTTTTCTCAAAAAATAGAAAGATCAAAATAGGTTCAATGAAAAAATTTGGCTCTCAATCTATTGTGATTTGACAATCTCATACTTTTAATATCAAATTACGTAATTTAAAATTTAAATTATTGATTTTTACGTAAAATTGATCTAATTTTTCTAATTATTGTCATATATAACGTTCAACTAGTTGATTATTACTTGAATGCCAAAATAACGTTATTTTGAATTTTGATGTTAATTATATTTAAAAAAAAATTTCAAAAATATTCTTTACCCCTAATATTGAATTTTCTAAAAAGAAATTTTTTTCTTATAAAATATTATAAACATTTTATCAATTATATTAAATATTTTATAAATATTTTTAACCACCTAATTTTGAACTTTTTGTTATAAAATATTATCAAAAAATATTTTTATTTTTATAATTTATAAATTTAGGGGGTTCAACCTTAATTATGTTCATTTTAATTTATAAAATATTATAATTTATATTTATATTATAAATATTTTAATGCTCATTGGATATTATAAACATTTTATAAAAAATATAACTAACAATACATAATTTCAAGCCTTTTAAAAAATATTTTATAAATTAAAATGAGCATAATTAAGAGTTGACTTCCTTAATTTTATAAATTATAAAAAAAATTATAAAATATTTATAATATTTTATAGAAAAAATTTCAAAACAAATTCAAATTTAGAGGGGTTAAAAATATTTATATTTTTATATATAATTTATAAAATTTTTCTAAGGAAAAAAAGTTCAAGGTTAAGGGGTTAACAATATTTTTAAAATATATATATTTTTTAAAAAAATTAACAACGAAATGTTGAAACAACATCATTTTTGCATTCCACGTAACGGTCAACTAATGATCGGCTTAGTTAACCGTTACATGTAACGACAATTAGAAAATTTTGATCAATTTTGTCCCAAAAAATATTAATTTGGGATTCAAATTACGTAATTTAATACTAAAAGCTCGAAATTGCCAAATCGCAATAAAATAAGAGTAAAATTTGCCATTAAATCAATCAAAATATTATAATTTAATTAATTTTCCATCCATTCTCTCTCAATTTGAGGGAGACATTCTTTATGTGGAATAGTAGAGAATTTGGCTACTAATTACCTTCTTCGGTCCCTTTCCTTTTTTAAATAGGAGTAGTGACTTTCTTTTATTTCATCCTCTATTTCATCATGCCTTCCTATCTTCCTTTTGAAAGGTAGTTTTCCACGTGCGTTTAAAAAAGGAGGTGGTGGAGGATCTTTCTTATTTGATCGAGCAAATGGAAGCTTTGGTTATCCTTGTGGTGTTAGTGACGAGTATAATAGGCTTTTAGTTACTTTTGCATTACTAGAAGTGCCTCTGTCGGCCTTTAGATTTGTTGTTGCGGTTCGCTAAAGTCCACTAGTTGGACACTTAAGGGAGCTAAGTCTGCCATAATTCCAATGGTATGGTGTTAGGTATGATATTTCTTTATTTTTAGCCATAAAACTAGCTCAAAGATTAAGAAAGATGGACTCAATGCTAACTTTTACCTTAGTTTTTCATAAATAGTGCCATTGATGAGGTTCGAAAATCTTAGAGAATGAAATAGCTTCTTCTTAACTAGTGTAATGGAGGAGTTTGTTGGTCAATGACGATAATGATGATCGAAGTACCTACAAAACAAGTCTTTCTTGCTGAATGGAGTACCCTCCGATAGCTAAATTTTGTATGGAAAGAAATTGTGGTTTGAGAAAGCAATAGTATAAGTATGAAAAAAAATGATAAATATTGACGGTATTAAGAAAGATTTAAAAATAAATAAATTTTTTTTTATTCTAGGTTTCATGGTTTTTAATATAGTCCGGAGACATGTTAAGTTACACAAAGAAATAAACAAAATTGTTTATCTCTTTCTTGTCAATAATTTTTTATTTTAATTATGTTGTAAGCATCTATTATATTGATAGTCTCATAATTATTGTGACAAAAGTGATATTGGGAGTACGCTTTCATTAATGAATGTACTTTCTATGTATTTGATTGATGAAAACTTGAAAAATGGTGAAAGTACTCTAACTATCAACGTACAAGCCGAAAATAATCCTAATCGTCTATTGAGATGCTAGAATGGGCTTTGAAGATCCGAGCTTTTTTCTCGGATGCAATGATATTGATATAGATCATAGTTCACCCACATATTGTTATTGAACGAGATTCAAAGGCCACGGGTATACCGAATATATTACTACTCTTCATATACAAACTTTGAGTTTTTTTTCATAATAAGGTATTTTAAAATCTTATTTCTTATAATAGGATAGTTTTAAACTTATTTCTCATAATAAGGTACTCTATGTTAAATAGGATCCATTTCATTTTAATACATTGACATGTCGGCTTTAATTTCTTTTTTGTTAAAAAATTATGTTATGATCATAAATTACTCTCTTCTTTTAATGTCTTTTACGTGTATCAACTCATGTTCTTATGCTTTCTATACCTTTAATAACTACGCAAGAAGACCCCACCTTCATAAGCTACTTTTTTGGCTGAACAAAACATCATATCGATACTAATCCAACTTATATTTGCACTCGATCTTTGTGACTAAATTCAATTTTCTCATTCTTTCTCTCTCAATTTCGATCTCTCTTAGTTTTCAATCTATCGCTTGGTTTTATCAATCCTTGGTTTAGATTCAAGTCTAGAGAACTATAAATTAGGAAAAAAGCTTTTGGTTTTTCGTTAAAGGATTAGGCAAAATTACGTTAGGGTAAAAGTTTTATCTTCCTTCTTGTTTTTTTTTTTTTATTTCATCTCAAGTATGTAATTTTTTTTTCGGTTTCTCTCCTAAGTCAAGGTATTGTATGTAATTTTCTTTTAATTTCTCTCCTTAGGTCTAGACATGGGTCAATATCATTTCAATTGATACTATTGTGTTTATTGTGAAGGATTTTTATTGAATCGAGACACTATTTAATAGAGACATTATCAAACCTATTAATAATAAACGTACAATCCTTTTCTCTTTTTTATGATAGAATAGAACATCCTACTGCAACCATAATTTTTTTTTTAATTTGAAATAGTTTACTTAATTTGCTTTTGTGACTTCTCTACTTCGCTATCGCTCTTCATCTCTCTCTCGGTTGGAGCAAACAAGGGGTTCTAGCTTTTTATGTATGTTTGTGTGTTTTTATGATGGCGAAGATTAGGGTTTTACGGTTTGGTTATTTAGTTTATGTGATCAACGATTTTTGCTCTTTTACATTTTAAAATAATTTATCACTTGGAATTATAGGTGGGTTTTCGTAGTTTGGTTATTTAGTTTATGTGATCGGGGCATCATCATCTTTTCGAGTCATGAAAGAAAAGATGAGCGATCTTACCCAAAGCCTAGGAATGCCACCGGGAGTTGGTGAGGGGTTAAAGTGAAGGTGCATTCCTTTATGTTGGTGCTCGACATGCTCTTTAATTTTATAATTGGATTGTTAGAAGTGCTTTTTATACCATGATTGAAAATTTATCATGTTTATACAACAAAAATTTAGATTCAAAAGTAAAAGTATTTTGAAATTTGAGAACTTTGTTGGTATAACATGCAATAATAATTGGTTGTGAAGCTGAATCAAGTAATTTAAATTCTATTTCATCCCCTAAAAAGAAAAGAGGAAAATATGATAGATTAGTTACTCTATAATAGATATTTATGAATTTGCATATAATTTTAGCTATATTTTTAATATTCTAGGCTAGGAGATTAGAGAAACATGAAACCAATGTCTGCTTTAGTTTTGTCACTAAGGAACAATAATTTATGATTGGCTTGACATTCCTTAGTTGAAGGGTTATACAATTTTAGATTTGATCACTTCGATATGTCTTGGAAAAAATGGGCATTTTTGGTCTTGTTGATTGCTTGTTGGAGAATGAAGGACCTTTTGCTTTTGGAGAATGGATACTTGGGTGCCACGTGATGAGCATGGATAGGTCCACCAAAAATCTTTTCCAAATGATGGGTACTTGTGTGCCGGAGATATTTATAAATCAATATATAGTTGTAATTACTTATCAAATAAGTTTGGACTTTGGGTGAAAGAAAAGATATTAATAAACCATGAAGGGATTTCCAAATTTTCATGATAGATAAACCATATGTGCATGTTAGATATGTTTATTCTTTCGAGCATGTGCATGTTAGAGATTGTTACTTGTGAATATCCATATCCTAAACGTAAAAATCCGGGACGGATATACAAGAAGGTTATCTCGGGTATAAAGCCGACTTTGCTTGATAAGGTGAATAATCTCTAAGTTAAACGAGTTCATAGAGAAGTGTCTACTTGTAGTCTCTTTAAGATTGTCGGTAGTAGAGCTCTTGAAAGATCCGTTCCTAGCAACTAAAAATTCAAAAGATACTATTTCTAGTTCTATGAAGTTATCAAAGAATCTTATGCCCAAATAAGTGATCAACTTATCCCATTCAAGATCCCATTGATGAGCATTGATAAGAAGTAGGTTTTGGTGGGATCTTTTAAAGAAAGTATCAATGAGCATGTTGTAGTTTCTAACTTCGAAATTTATAAGTTCACGAGAGAAAAATGAATTTAGATTAAGAGGGGAGAAAATGGACAATAATATAATTTCATTGACTTTGAACATTACAAAAAATTCAAGTGGTCGAGCAAGGAAAGTGAAGTTTTCCTTTTATCTTGATTCGAACTCGCATTTTAAATAGCTAAAGAGATGGTTGAATAACTTGAATTATCACTTGAAGATGCAATTTATATTGCCGAGTTGATTGATAGTTTAGCAATTAAATTAGTTTCTAGCTAGAAAACTCCATATGAAAGCATTGCGAGTGTATCTATTAGGCATCCCGATTGCTTATAATCTGTTAAATATCAAGAGACCCAACCCACAATCAATTATTTCGGAACACGATGTGACAACTTCCTCTTGTGCCGGCACTAACAAGCCTTTAGGATCTTCTCATTGTAATCTTTAATTGAATTCTCATAATTTGGTTTTAGATTTGAGGATTCTTGATGATGGACATCTACTAGAACAAAAAAAAAATCTATAAGAAATTTATGGGCTCCAGTATTGGTTCACACGTTGGTATGAAAAATATGAGAGCTCGTCTTGCATCTGCTATCTAAACCAAGCGGAAGAAGTTGACGAGCTAAAGCTAGAGCTTATGCAATTGATTTCATTGTAATAAGCATATACAAGAAGTTATGAGGATAGCAATAAAGGTATCCACAAAGAAGATAACTTCATATGATGATTAGATAGATAGTTTGCTCTATGAGTGGTTTTAATTTTGTAATTGGAGCTTTGATTGATTTTATTTGCCGATTTTACTTGTTCATTTAGTTGGTCGTTGATCATTAGATTTAATTATAATTTTAATTAATGAGAATTCTTGTACAGAGAATTCATAAGAACTTGCTTGAATTCATTCATTAATGACATTGAGCTAAATAACTTTCTCTATCCGAGGTGTCTTCTTTTCCTACAAGCTTTTAAACTCCAAAGCAATTGATTGAGTAAAAGTTTTTTTTTTTTTTTTGTCAATCTCTAGCCATCTCTTTCTCTTTTGGGAGTCTCTTTTTGATCTTGGTTCAAATGATTCTAAATGTGGTGATGTTTTTCTTTCATTCTTTTAGTATTTTTATAGTAGGCTGTAAAAGTTTGTCAATCCCTTACTCGCGCTATTAATTGGATAGGTCGACGAGAGGGTAATAGATCATTTTCCTCTACGGTACTTGGTATACTTTAATCGGATATAATAGAAAGCTAGACTTAGTTGCTTTATGGATTGTTGGTGGCAATGAAAAACTTTTAGAAAAACTTATGATTGAATATTGTTTCCAATTCATGAGGGCAAATTTGCATGATTTTCTCATGATGCCCGCAAGTATCTTAGAGTCTAATGAAGCCAAGTTCAAATAATTGAAAAAACCAACTTTATATGGGTAACTCGGAGACGAATTAATCGGTCTCATTGAATGCAATCAACTTGGTAGAAGGACTACTTTTCGAGTCTAGACCTTAGAAGTTACTACTAGATGTCAACACCATTGATTTTCTCATTGCACAATTCCCTAATGTCACATTCATTCACATAATGAAAGAAGCAAATAAAGTGGCGAGAGAATCTTAGAAGCAAATAATGTGGCGAGAGAATCTTACCATATGTTGTCTATTTTTGCACTATCTTCCTCTCTATTCTCTAACGACCAAAAGCTTAGTGGCCAATTTTATATCTTCACATTCCTCTAACGAAAGAAATTGTCCGATTTTTCAATAAAAGTAAAAGAAAAAAAAAGCTTTGTTGTTATTACTAAAAAAATGTTTATGCATAAAATTGATTTGCGAAGAATTTCTTATCTTTTCTTTATTATTATTATTTTTTGAATATTTAGTTACTACAACGAGTTACAACATACGGAATAAATTGATTTTCAAACAAGAAGGTTTTAAAGAGCATCGGATACTAGTACACTTCATAAATTAAAGACATTTGAGTTTATAGTTAATAACTTAATACATAGCAATATCTCATCATAATTCTCATTCCACAATTGAAAAAACTTAATTACATCTACACGACCACATGCCTCGAAGCTCTTAAAGTCACTTCTTATGAGCATGCAATTTTAGAGTAAACTAGTATGAAAGGATATCGAGTACTCTAAGAGTCGATAAAATTGAAAGTTCGATGCCCATACACTAGTCTGCTCATGGTTAATTTGACATCCATCATCTCTTATTGCCAAGATGGAAGAGTCAATTTCTTCAACGAGTTTGAAATCCATCACATGGTAGTTTGATATTGGCTTGAGCGCATATATAATCATTTAAGATGGTTACTTTCCATTACGGCTTGTTTTGCACTAGCACTCTTATTTGAGACTGAAAATTTTTGATGTCCGTTATCTAATGACGAGTGACAATTCCTCGCAATGAATAAAATTAGATAGAATGTTTTAAAAACACACGATTATAAATAAATGAACTCAAAACTCAATTAGTATCCACATTCTTCTCTCCAATATCATTTAAACCCATCCAAAAATAAATAAATAAATAAGTAAATGACCTATTTTTTTGTTTTTGTTTTTGAAAAAAATAATGGATGAACTGTTAACGGAATATTCTATCATCTCTCTCAACATATAACATAACATATATTTATGAATAGAATGTATTGATAATTCTAAGAAAATAAGTAGTGAGAATATTCTATCATCTCTCTCAACATATAACATAACATATATTGATGAAGAGAATGTATTGATAATTCTAAGAAAATAAGTAGTGAGATTAATAATTTTGATGGTAAATTTAACGAGCACAAGTCATAAAATTCTTCTTAAAGTACAAACCCTCAAAATTAAGAATGTACAATATACAAATTAAAAGAAAATTTTATCAAAAATAAATAAATAAAAATAAAAGAATTTAGAAAAATACCTTAATTGACAATATACATATGTTAAAGAACTTTTCTAATAATTGTAATTTTGAATTGTAAGAATATTTGAACTTTAAGAAATGTAAGAATATTTGAACTTTAATAATTGTAATTTTGAATTGTAATAATTGCAATAATTGTAATTTATGAAGAGAATGTATTGATAATTCTAAGAAAATAAGTAGTGAGATTAATAATTTTGATGGTAAATTTAACGAGCACAAGTCATAAAATTCTTCTTAAAGTACAAACCCTCAAAATTAAGAATGTACAATATACAAATTAAAAGAAAATTTTATCAAAAATAAATAAATAAAAATAAAAGAATTTAGAAAAATACCTTAATTGACAATATACATATGTTAAAGAACTTTTCTAATAATTGTAATTTTAAATTGTAAGAATATTTGAACTTTAAGAAATTAGGACGAGAGATAACAAAAGAGAGATAGAAAATGCAAGTTAATTTTTTCTTTTATGTTTTCATTTTTTTAAAATTATTACACTAAATATGTATTATAACATTTAATTAAAAGGATGATATGGATGTTTATATGACAAAACTATATATATTTTTTTATCAATAAGATTTAAAATATTTCATTTAAAAAAAATAGATTAAAAAGTACTCCTGTTTAGAGGAAAAGCTCTACAAACCTGTGTTCATTCTTCCTTATATCTAACCTTGTCAACAAAGGATTTCCTACAAAGAGATCAGACTTTTTTGTTTTGCGGAACGTGTATCTCCACCGCATTACCAATACAATTTCAAGCGAGGACCGAATAACTCATCAACGAGGGTTTTGTTGGGTTAGTTTTCCAAGAATTAGTAAGATCAAAAAATTAGAATTCAATTAATTTTCCCTTCGTTCTCCCTCGATTTGAGGGGGACATTCTTTAATGGGAATGGAGGAGAATTTGGCTACTATTTATCTCCTTCAGTCCCCTTACCCTCTTTAAAAATCCCAATTCCCAGGTAAGCCCCTGCCACCAGCTTCCATCCCTAACGAACGGCCATGGTTGGATGTTTACAAAAGCATGAATCCATGAATGAATTGACATGGAAAACATTTGTTGGTTCCAGTTGCATATGGTCTATTTGGTAAAGAAAGGCCTTCTTTGACCATTCCACTGAAATAATTTAAAGAAAATATCTATCAAAGATTCTAAATGTATTGGTAAAGCACTAAAGCAGCTGCTATCTAGATCAAATAGAAGTACCAACGTAATAGAAATCAGATAGCTTAAGCGTAAAGTATTCGAGATTTGATGACGCAACTTGAGTGGCAATAAAAGATAATACAGGTACTCTTCTTTGCTCCTCTCGTGTCCTCGCATCTCTGCATTGATCTCTATCCAGTTCCATAATAATTTGCCTATTCACGGACATGACAAGACCCATCATCAAAAGAAAGAGCTGATCAACAATTAAAATTTTGCAGGGTGCACGGATTTTGGTGGTGGGCCATTTAATTTGATCCCTCAATCCGTGTCTCTCAAAGTGTGTTTGGTTATGGAATCTCTTTTGGCGGCGGCATAACAGGTCTTATCCCTTTCTTGCTCGTTTTCAGCCATCTTTACTTTATTTCTGAGATCATTATTGGGGTAGCTAGCAGCCTAGCACAAGCAAGTTTTTTCATCAGTAAGACATCAAGAACTTTAACAAAAGATGACTAGCTAGCCTTCGAACTGGGATTCCGTAGTTATAATTCACCATAAGAGACTAGACCAATTACAATATAAACTTCTTCTATTTCTTTTCTTAATTTTCTCTGCAAAATCTTAGTAATTGGCATATATATATATATACAATCAATCTTGACAATAATCCCTCGTGCATGGGTCATGATAGATTGTCCTTTTTAAGGACTTGAGTTTCACCCACAATTTATGAGAGCATCACCTCTTAATTCCTCTACATAGATATCCAAAGTTATTTAACTTACAAATTTTATCATCACAAATATAGATCACAGTAAATATGCGGTCCATCTTGCACTGCTATTAGGTGGTAGACAAAAGCAGCACCTAACTTGGAAGAGAGAGCATCCTTTTTCGTTGAAAGCGCACGTGCAAGCGAACCACGGTATGAAAAGGGTGATAGCAACAAGGCTTGTCCTGAAGACAGCTTTCCTCTTTCCAAAATCCACAGCTTAGTGGATTCCACCTTCAACTGTAAGAGGCGTGTTTTATTTCATTTTTACTGCTCTGAAAGCAAAAAGGAAGGTCGCAATTGATAATGCTACCATGGAATAGTATAGTAAATATGTCATAAAGATTTAAAATTAAAGACGCCCACCGTGGGGCTCGAACCCACGACCACAAGGTTAAGAGCCTTGCGCTCTACCAACTGAGCTAGACGGGCTGCTTTGCTAGGAGGAAATTAAAGAAACATAATAGCTAAAAACAACTCATTCTGATGGATTTTTTCATAGGCTCATAACGTCCAAAATGCAATATTGAGGGATTTTTTTTTTCCTGAACAACAACGTTGCTAGTTGATTTTGGAAGTAAATTATAAAATAGTCTTCCAAGTTTTGAAAAATGGATTAATTAGTCCTTTTTGTTCCAAAAACTAATCATTTAAAAATTAAAAAAAAAACTTAGGGTTCGCAATAATAATTATATACATTTAAAAATTAAACAATTTTTTTTTTAAATTACAAAGAAAAAGATTTAGTTAAATACGGACTGGATGTAAAGGTTAGATAACCAGGTTTGGTTTATAAGATTTATAATAATCAGATATGTTAATAAAACAAATGACAAGGATATATATATATATATATTGAGTCGGTACAATTAGGTGATGGGATGGATCCATCGATCCACTCATTTCTGTATCAGACCTCATGAAAACGAGGTCAGGTTTTTATCCAACCAATTTTAAATCCGATCAAGTCAAAGTAAAAATTCAATTAAATCATATTGGATACTCGATTGATTAAATGAAATTGCCATCCTTATTAGTATTATGACTCCTCTATTCACATAAACATACGACTCGCAATAAAAACTTCACTTTTTTTGCATGAGAGAGAGTCAGAGCTCAAATCCAAGTATACGTATTGAATAATTGAATACAAATATGTGTTAATGAAGTCACAATTGTCTGCATAACACATTGCGATTCGACTTTCCGACCACAACGTCAATTATTACACAAGAATAATTCAATTTCTCACATATCTATATGCTATGAAAAAGTATAACCTACTCCTTTTTTTTTTTTTTTTTTTTTTTCCTATTCCCTAATATTTTCCTATCCTCGCGGTACTGAGAGGAATATTCGAGTAAGAGGTCATTCCGAGACAAAATTTGACGTATAAGCAAAAGATTGAAGACTTACAGCGCCCAAAGGACCAAAATGATTCAGCTTCAAAATTAACTGCAAAGAATTTCCTCTAAAAGATCTTCAAAAATCAGGTCCTCCAATTCAAGCCCAACACATTCGGTATCATATTGCAGGTTCATCCACCCATCATTCTTTGAAAAATCTCTACTTACGGCATAATCTAGTAAGTGGTCACCCTCAGTAGTTGAGCTCAAATACCAGCTTATATTTTCCCAGACCTCCTCAAGGACATGGTATCCTACAGGCATTGGACGGACATGCGAAAGAGAAGACAAGGGCACAGGATAGTAAGTGTGTGATTTTGCATAAATCTCCATTAATACCTCATTGATTAGATCAAACAATAGCAGGTGATGACAATTGCCACCTTCTTCATTTCCACAACACTCAGGGTCGAGGAACATACAACCTTGTGCTTCTTCGAAAACAGAATAATGCACTGGTTGGTCGTCAGAATTCCATGTTCCTAGCAATTCCTTCCCGGTGAAACCAGACAATGTCAGTATGTCCCTGACAAAATCAAATTCAGCTTTGTCTTTGGCATCAACTTGGAATTGCTCAATTTCATTATTCAAATCTATTTCCTCAACTCCATCCTCGGCCACGGTCGTTGTAGGTGCATCCATGCTGCATTCTGCTACATGGTTCTCCAAATAATCTAGTTTTTCAGGAAGGAGACGTGACGCAATTGGTTCTGCATCTGCTTCAATATAAAACAACAATCATGAAACACCAATTCCGACAATGAAAAAATTAAAATTAGTGACTACGGAAAATAATTTCTTCACAAACCAAAGAGACTTAAATTTCAACACATAGCTGAATATAATAAAATCTTGCTACTCCCATCTTCTTGCATACAGTATGGACTTCAAATATGCTTTCTTCTGTATATGTGTTAAAATTAAACCTCATCCAAATATTATACCAATTAATAAACATATTTCCCTACTGGGTGACAAAATACATAAACTTCAGTGCGTGATGCAACGTAGTATTAAGGTCAAAAAACCGTTGGCAACTTGGCAAGAAGTATACCTTCTGAAACAAAAATGTTTGCAGGCCTGGTCGTCACATTCTGAAGTTCAGAGTCAGGGAATGCGAGAGAAGTTGGTGCTATCACTTCAGTAATAGTTTCAGTTGGGGATCGAATGTCCTGCTTATCAGTAGATTCCCTGTCCACTGTCATCAAGTTGCTCGAGTCATCACCAATCAAAGTGCACTTTGCATCTGGCTCAACGTTTGGAACCAATGTCGTATCCAGCTGATCTCCAATAACTGAACCTGATTCACTCTCCATATTATCCCCTTTTACATGATTTTTAGTATCTAATCGCGACAAGTGCTCTGAAGCTATAGGATGACCAAGACTGTTTTGTTCACTGAAATGACCTCTTATGCTCACATTCCCATCAATCACGGTCCTAAATTGACTTAATGAGAAGGAATCAGAAGAGTCCTCACAGCAATAAGGATAGGAAATGAGGTCAGGTAAGGAAAAAAACCTTTTCATGGATTTCGAGGCACTCGCTTGAGGTGAAACCACACCTTCTGCTTTGATTTTTGATGTCTCAGAGTAATGTTGTTTCGCTTCTTTGTTAAAGCTAGAATCATACAACTGGCAATATCTATCCAGTGATTCACTGAAAGATACTGTTCTGCTGATGCAGTGTGGTTCACTTTTGCTGGTAGAAGGAAGAGAATGATCACAGTCATAGTTACTTTTGGGACTGCCTTTACCATCTCTACTCATGGAGTGGTCCTTCATATTATCAACACTGATCCTTTCCAAGTTCATGGAAAACCTCTGGCCATGGGGAATCTTGTGAAGGATTGCATCCATGGCGATTCTGTGCTTCTCGTTTTTGCTCTCGTTAATAGCATGCTTTATCTTATGCTTAAGGCTCTTGAAATGCTTAACTACCGCTTGATTCTGGGCATGGCTCTTCAGATGGTGGGATGAACCCAAAGAGGACTTAACAGCAGCTATTGATGGCATTGACTTTGAACGTATATATTCTCTATAATTGGGCTCAATTGACTTTTGTGTTTGACTACCTGCTTGCAACTTCTCTGTGCCGTCCTGCTTCTGCTTGCCTTTACTTGCACCAGATCCTATTCCATATGACGGACCTGGTGAAGGGAATGAGACCGAATATCCCATTTTTGTGGTGAATGCTTGTTGATGGTGAAAGTGATGAGCTAAAGGACTGGTTGAGTCTTGTAAAATCTTTAAGAAAAAATCCTTATCTAGGTTGATCATATCTAGTGCATCCAAAATCTCTTTTGATTGTTGGGCTGAAGCATCCATACTGAGATCCTTTACATGTATTGATTTCTGCCTTTTGTTGTTTGAATTTTCCGGAAGAAGAGAGTGATTCTCAATTAGTTCCTTTTCAGCCTCATCAGCCTGGTTATGTCCCAGGTGATTACTAGAGAGAATGGGGCCACAGTCTTCGCAATTGTAGTCCTCAAAGGACTTTGGAACGAAAGGATCCAGTAAGCTGGCAGTGGAAGAGTTATTGTCTTCAGCAACAGTGGGGCATCGATCAGTTAATCTTATATCAGAAAAGAGATCCTCATCTGACAATTCCGTACGACGAAAGGAATCACTTCGCGTCAAGGGTGATCGTATAGGGTAAGTTGAGCTTCGGCAATGTCGCCCCTTCCTTTTGGACAGCTCATCAGAGATTATAGATTTTATTCGAGATTTGACAGAAGCTTTGGTGACTGACGTGGATTGCATCTTCTTATCAATAACCTGATAATCTTCATATCAGAAACCTTGTATTTATAAACCCTGAATATATATATAGATAGATTTTTATGTGTGCGTGCAAGCTTTCTCTCTGGTTCTTGTTCGACGTATTACTTTGTACTGCTTGTTGAATCTATAAAATGACAGGATGCAAAGTAAAAAGGTTTTCCTGAATAGAAAAGTGCAAAAAGATATCTCATTTTAACCTACCTTTGAGTGGTGATTTCCAGCATTTTTGTTCTGAGGGGTTCCATCATCCTTAGAAGCAGTTGCATTATTTACTGGATTTCCATCCCCTGCAAAGACTAATAAGGTTATTACCACATTAGAAATTAATGTTTCATCTCATTATATCATGAACAAGATCTGACAGTTGAAGATTCACACACACACACACACATACACATTGTTTTAACCTATGACATTGTGCATGTAAAGGTGGCGTAAACAACATTCCGCTTATCAACTCCCATACACGGTTTAACCATGACACAGCAGCCAAAGTTGCCCATCTCAGCTGGTTAATAATATTTTCGAGGATATATTTGCTTTCATAACGGATGCTTGCTAGAATCCAAGTGTGGCTTCAACTGCAAAATCTTTGCACTCTTACATCTCTTGGTATCAAATTACTAGAATGATCAGAAACTTAATTTGTAAATCGAGATTGAAAGTCCTAATATGATTGTCAACTTAGTTATGCATCCCAAGTGTGTTTTTCTTTCCTTCCCTCTCCATTTCTGAATTACTCTCTCTCTCTCTCTCTCTCTTTTTCCAAAGAGATTTTTGATTGGAAAGGTGAAAAGGTTTTAGTTTTATGTTGCCAGTCAGCTATGTAACTGATTGACAAGGACCCATCAAGAAAAATTAGTCCATTTTGTAAAGAGCTTCTATATAGCAGCAATAACGTGACTACATACGACAAATGAGCAACTATTGTAATTTAGCCTAATGATACACTTCACTAAAAAGCAAGAGAGAAATGAGAGGTCCTGTCTTTGCCTTCGTAAGAACATGGCGCATGTATCTATACGCATGCACTCATGTGCACACTCCCAATATGTAGGTTAGTATATGCTTCAGTTATACTAGCTGCAGCGTCCTGTTTATGCCATTTTCCTGAGTTTAAGGTATGGTAACATGAGCAGACAATAAAAAGATACCTTATCTATTAGAAATTGAGGAAACTGGTCTCTTGATTTTTTTTTATCAAAGATAAATGAATGGTGGCTAACCTAAGATATGATATCACATACTCATTTCCAAAAGACACAATGTGACACACCTTAAGCTCCCTTCCAAAAGAAACTAAACAACAATTAATATTGGATAGGAACAATAATGGGGGAAGAAATTCATTTTAAATGAGAAAGAAGCTCTCTTACCCTTGGCATGTTTCCTATTACCACCACTCTTGTGGTGAAGCTTTTTCTTGATATATCGCCAATGGTGGTACTTTAGGATATGAAGTACGCTCCACACACATCCTGGATGATTGTTCTCAATAGAAATGCCAGAGGAATGGTTCTCCAAGTTCTTCCCCATGGCTCACGAGTTTCTCTCTTTGTAATTATACCTGCTCAGCTTGGAAGACATATATAACTAGAAGCTCACCAAACCTTGTCCCAGTTACAAGTAAATATCAAGCACTGTACAAACAGAACAACGTCTTCAAACTCAGCACAATTCACTACATTTTTGCAAACCTTGGATCACTCAAACAAATAATCACTTCAAGAGTTTACTAAAGCTGTAAACTAATATATATGTTTCCCAGCTGGTTCAGTTCAACTCTTCAAATCTCGAGAAGCAACTAACAATAAGTTGAGAGTTATTATTATTATTATTGAAAGTGCAGAGACATGCTGTTCCCTAACATTGTTGAAATACAGCACAAATGATGCACTGCTCAACAAATAAAGGAATGAGTGAACTTAGTCCTCAATGAAGTTAAATTCCCTCATTGAAATTGAATGCCAGACATAAAAAAAATTACATATCCTCTCTAGAAAGACTAATTAGTTATAAAGTATCTTAAACTTGTGGTCGATAGACAGACAGTTCCTAATCTTTTTGTTTTTTTAATTATTTGGCTCCTGATTTAATTTTTATTTAGTTTTTTACAATTAAGTATTTCTAACCCCGTTGACTAATTCAAAACAACATACACACCTGAATTGCTAAAACAATGACGTGTGTTCTGAAAGTTTTAAAATAGAGGACATATTTTCTTTTTTATGGTCAAGAGGAGGGAAAGATTTATTGCGGACTAAAAAGAAAACTTCACGAACCAAATCAAAATGAAAAAAAGGTTAAGAACTTCTTAATTTCCTATTAATCAAAAAGCCAGGATACTTCGTAACCAATTGTCCTTTTAGCATTCACATCAAAAAGAACAACAAATCCTCAATCCTTAATCCCATTAATTAATTTCATGCGATCATATGTATCTAATATTTTAGGTTTCGATTAAATAAAACACGAAATTACTAAACAGCATATTTAACACAAAGAAAACGTCGCTGAATAAACAAAACTGGAAAAGCTGAATCGTATCCAGTGCGATCTTTTGAGGCCACAGACAAAAATTCGAACAGCTAATTTCCTTTCCTCCACAGAAATGATGATCAAATCTTCAAATGAAATCTTAACTATCAATGTATACATGAAAAATAAGGAATGAAATCAGTACTGTCTTACCCTTTGAAAGGAGAATTTGAACGTTGAGACGAAATCCATGCATTTGTTCTTAGTTAGAGAGAGAGAGAGAGAGAGAATAAGTGTGGTACGTTACATGCAAGAAAATTGGAAAAGTGTTCAAAGCATGGAAATCGGCTTGGAATTTTTTATGGCCTTAGAAATTGCAACCTTTTTCCAGCGCTTTCCACTTTTGGTTTACTCGCCATCTCGCTCTTTCTCCCTCCCTTCACAACGTTCCTAAAAAGAGTAAATTATAAATTAGTCCTTCTATTTTTTACAAATAAATTAATTACTTCTACTTGTTTCCAAAATTAATTATTTAGTTCATTAGGCAGTATTGTCCAAACTTAATTTAATATTTTATAAAATATTATCTTTTCTCATGAATACTTATATATATATATTTTTTCTCAAAATAAAAAATGAAAATAAATTAAAAAGAGAAAAAAGAAGTTAAGTTATAAAAAAATTTAAGCATATAGAAACTAAATAATTAGTTTTTTTTGAAATAACGAGGACTAATGAATTCATTTTATGAAATAGAGAAACTAATTTATAATTTAGGGAACAATATTTGGTTTATGCAGAGCGCATGCCTTTTTCTTAACCAACCTTTTTTTTTTTTTTTTTTTAATGAAAAATTTTTCTTGACCAACTTTAAGGTTTTATGGGAAGGAAGGACCAGCCGAATCTAAGAGGATTAAGCCTGGGTTGGATTATAAATTAGTCACTATAGTTTTGAGACATAAATTGATCAGTCCTTTTTATTTTTAAAACTTAATTATTTAGTTTTTATATTTTATATTTTTCTTGTAACTTAACTTTTTTTCGCTGATTTTTAATTTATTTTGATTTTTATAAAAGAATAAAAAATAAAAAAAATATATGGAATACAATAATTATTTTTTTGAATTAAAAAAATAATTAATTAATTTTTTAAAAATCGAGCAACTAATTTATAAGTTGCTCGGTTTGGTTTACGTTTAGGACAAGGTTACGGAGATCAAGCCACACAAAGTTTTGATATATGCGATACTATTTCATTCACATAACCTTTGTGTGGTCTTGTATGTGTACCTAATATGGTTGAGTATTTTATAAATTAGTCTCTTTGATTTTAAGAAACAAATCAATTAGTCTTTTAAAATCTATTTTAAAAGCTAATTATTTGATTTTTTTTCCATTTTATGTTTTAAAAAAATAGAAAAAATAAAAATAAATAGATATTATGGAAATATTTATGAGAAAAGAAGAATTTTTTTGAAATACAAGGACAATTCTTCTATTCCAAAAAAATGTCATTTTTACTTTTTCACATGTATTAAGAAAGTTATTAACTATTATGTTCTATAAGAAAATATTTATTTTTTAGAATTGTTAGTAATCATAATAGAATTTACTAAATTAAATCTCTATATTTTAAAAACCATTTATAACTTAATTAGAACTTCCAGGGATCAGGACGGAATTGGGTCCTAAGCGCCCAAGGTGTGGGCCGGGATTAGTGGCTTAGTGTTTGTTTTTGTATTGTTGAATCGCTTGAAGTTAAAGTCAAAATCGGATTTGAAAAGTCTTAGAATCGGATCCGAAACATTTATGATTAAGTTTTTATATTCGAATATCTAATTGAAACCAAGTGCAATTTATTTTATTTTTTTATTAAAAAAAAATTACTAACTAAAAAAGTTTTTAGTTAATAAAAAAACTTAGGAATTGAAAAAAAAACAAAAACAAAAAACACAGAAAAAATGAAAACGATACCAAACGGCCTCTTTTCTTGTTCAAATTTCAGACCTTTCAACTTTTCAAGAACGGAAAGTCGTCTGCTAGAAAAGGAAGGAGACAAATTCCTGGTGGTGCAGGCGTGCAGCTATGCTGGTCAAACTATCTTGAAGTCACAGTCCCTATACTTTCAATTTCAATTTTAACCTCTCTTTTCTTTAGTGTATTTGAAATCAAATTCTTTTGTTATTTTTTCCTCGATTCCTTCTATATTTTGCATTTAAAACAAATAAAATGAATTAAATAACCTCAACTTTCAACACCCTTTAATCTAATGGAAATTTTTTACTATAGAAAAAAGTTTAAATTTTGAAAATAAAATGTACCATAATTTTAATTCTCCATCTAGAAACTTTGGTTCTAAATTATGAAAGGAAAAAAAAAAGGGGGGGGGGGGGGGAAGATTTTAGGCTACTAGTTTTTTTTTTTTAAATTAAAACCAAAATTTTTGGATCGAAATTAAAATTATGATATTAAATTCTAAATTTATGTATTTTATTTTCAAAACTTTAAAATTAATTCTATAAAAAATTAAAAATAATCAATTAGGTTGAAGATTATTGAAGTAGATGGTATTTAAATCATTTCATTAGATTTATATGCAAAAATATGAAATGAATTCTTGAGAAAGTAAAAGGACTTGATTTCAAATATATGGAAGTATAGGGATATCAAAACTAAATTTAAAAATATAAAAACTGATCTTTTTTAAAACTTTAAATTCAAAAGGGATTTTCCCGGTTTAGCCTAGTGGAGCCCATGGTTAAATAGTTGGGGATTTGCTTGGTGGGTTTGGTTTTGCCCAGCCAATAAATAATCTAAAGATATTGGTTCCTTGTGCAACTTGCAAACCATCCATCCAGTGGACATTAGGATCAAATGTTATTTTTGTATAAGATCTTATAAACAATTAACGGCATTTTATATAGTGCAGTTTTTTTTTTAATATACACTTGCAAGTTGCTCTAATATTCTAAAATGCCAAAGCTGACCTATAATTAAATAATAATAATGAAAGAAAAAACTATAAATTTAAAAGGTGGCGTTTACTTTCAATGAATGAATGATGAAATAAGTAGAGGAATATTTCAAATATAAAATATTTTAATTTGGGCATAGTATAAATAAATAAATAAATAATCAAATAGTTATAAGATATGAACGAAAAACATGATTTGAATGAGTAAGCTACATAATCCTCGGCAAATCTTGTATTTACACAATAAATAATCTCAAGTCGCATGCTTAGCAACAGAAAAGAATATATATATATTCAAATCCGTTTCATTACTTTTTTAAAAAAATTGGATTAGCATTAAATCATATTTAACTTGTTGTAGATTCTAATCACAACACATAAAATGCAATCACATAACATCAAAGCAAAACAGATTTGTGTTGTGATTGTTTATGCATTCCATTACAATTTTTAATTTCATATACGATCGACATCATTTAGATACGATTCCTCCTCCTCCTCAAAGATAACACCGATATTATTGATTAACATATACTATTTATCATCAAACAACAACAATGATAGAGTCTTAATTCCAAACCAATTGGCGTGTTATTTCACATGATTAATAATAAACAGTTTCAAGGAAAAAAAAACAATAATTTTTAATATCAATTTTACCCTCAAACTCTTAAAGGTTCTTAATTGACGATTTTTCTCTATTCATTTGTGTAGTACCGACATGAATTGTTGGTGGATCAAAAAATATAATATTTAGAATCGATTTAAGATTAGATGTGATTTGATACTAAGCTAACATAAGAATAGAAGCCTAGTTTCGATTGACATGAAATCTGAAATGAAAATACACCACTATCTATATAATAAGAATATCATCCCATTTTGGAAGCTTTCCATCCAAATTATATTTTTTTTTCTTGTAAGTAACAACATTATTTTTTAGAAAACTACATTTTCTATCAAGCAATTCTAACAAAACTTTTAATTGAAAATCAAAATAATTTGAGAGTAAAATTAATATAAAAAATAGTTTGGGTATAAAAATGAAAAAACTCCAATAATTGGGGAGTGTATTTGATGTTGATATATTAAAAAAATGACATATTTGGCGAAAGATAGGTTTGACTTTCTGATGATTCTTCCCACCATAGTTAAGAGTTTTATTATGCAATTTTCTCCACGCGATGCCCATAGTCAACTCCTCCCATTAACACTTAAAAAAGCATTAATTTCAAATAAACAATAACTACTAATTATTATTATTGTTATTGTTAAACAAAACAAAACAAATGCCCTCAAAAGTCAACTGATCGCCACCCCCCACTATCTCTCTCTCTCTCTCTGATTACAATGCTTTTTTTCTTCTTCTTCTTTCTCTGCAAAAACCAGTTTTAGCTTAGCCAGTTGCTGATATGAACTGAACAATCAACTACTAACCATCAATTTCCAAGTTTATTGAAAAGGCAATCATGGGCAATGGAGTTACAAAAGTTAGTCACTGTTTTGCCAGGACAGGTGACATCTCAGGCCGGCACAACAATATATCCCTTGATAGTTATGGCCGCGAGGGACTAGGTCACTCTTTCTGTTACATCCGACCAGACATTAACACGGCTTCCAGATTCTGCAAGAACAACAACATCAACAACAACAACAACAAAATCCACTCTGAGGAAACAACAACCTTTCGGTCGATCTCAGGAGCCTCTGTAAGCGCCAACACATCAACAACATCCTCAACTTCTCTTAATGATACACTCTGCTCCAACAGCTCAGGTTTGGACCAGGCATCCACTTTTGAAAGCTCTGATTCTTTTGCTTCCCTTCCTCTTCAGCCTGTCCCTCGCATCCTCTCATCATCATCAGCTAATTCAGGCCCTATCGAGCGTGGCTTTTTATCAGGTCCTATCGAGCGTGGATTTCTATCAGGTCCCATGGATCATGCAACTTTCTATTCAGGTCCTTTTGACAAAGAAAAAGAAAAGTTGGAGATGAGTGATAGTAATTATAATACTACTACTGATAAGTTGCAGAGTAATAGTTTGCCTCATGCTGCCTTTTTTACTAGTATTGATGAAGTTGAAGCTAAACCCAAGAAACAACAGGCCGGTCTGATAAAGACTTTGAAAAGAGCAATATCTAACACTATCTCACGAGGCCAAAAGCTTATGGCGCTGGCACCCATAAAAGGAGTTAAAGGATCAAAAAGTTCTGGAAATGCTAAACCGATTGATGATGATATTGGTCATGAGGATTTGACGAGTGAGTTTTCAATTGGGAGCCAGAATCTACAATGGGCACAAGGGAAAGCTGGTGAGGATAGAGTGCATGTTGTGATCTCAGAGGAACATGGGTGGATTTTTGTGGGGATTTATGATGGTTTTAATGGACCTGATGCCCCTGATTATTTGCTTTCCAATCTTTACATTAGCATCCATAAGGAGCTTAAAGGGTTGCTGTGGAATGACAAGGTTGAATCCACAATAACAAAAGCAGAGAAGGTTATGCATTTGATTGATCAGGAAAATTCTCCGTTAAGAGGAAACTATAGCGATGGAAAGAATTTGAGGTATGCGACTAGAGGTGGTGACACTGACATGAAGAGATTGGAAGAGAAGTTGAATTGGAAATTGAAAGAGAGAATGAATTGCTACTCTAATGGAGTTAACCATTATGATGTTTTGAGAGCACTTTCGCAGGCGTTAAGGGTGACGGAGGAGGCCTATTTTGAGAGTTCTGATAAAATGGCAACGGATAATCCAGAATTGGCTTTGATGGGTTCTTGTGTTTTGGTGATGCTGATGAAGGGAGAAGATGTTTACTTGATGAATGTTGGGGATAGCCGTGCGGTTTTGGCCCAGAAAGGCGGCGCAACCGTCCCCGGATCAAGGAAAGGAATCCAGGATTTGGAGATTATTAGTGAGGAAAGCAGGCGTGACAAAATTCAAGATTTCGATGGCGATCAACTTCACAGGCTGCGTAGCTTGAATTCAATTCAGCTTACTATGGATCACACCACCTACGTAGACAAGGTGATATTTTGGTTTTCTTGCTTCTTCTACTTGTAATCATCACCACTCTTACCCTTTTTATTTTCCTAAAACGTACGTTTTCTGAATTTCAGGAAGTTGAAAGGATCAAGAAGGAACATCCTGATGATGTTTCTGCAATAATGAATGACAGAGTGAAGGGTTATTTGAAGGTTACTCGAGCCTTTGGGGTTGGCTTTCTCAAACAGGTATGTACTCTTTAGATTGATGCAACAAAAAAGAGGCAAAGATCACTTCATTTTTTAGTCAGGACTCAGGATTGAGATTTTGTACAAATCCAGCAATCTGTTTTGGCAATAAATTGTATCATGTAATTGAATCCTCTGCCTCTGCGGTTATTTTGGCAGCCAAAGTGGAATGATTTACTCTTAGAGATGTTCAGAATTGACTACATTGGAACCTCTCCTTACATCACATGTACTCCATCATTATATCACCATACACTGAGCCCAAAGGACAGATTCTTAATATTGTCATCCGATGGCCTTTACCAATATTTCACCAACGAAGAAGCTGTCTTAGAGGTTGCCTCCTTTATTGCTGCATTTCCTGAAGGAGATCCAGCACAGCATCTAATAGAAGAAGTTCTGTTTCGTGCAGCCAAGAATGCTGGTGAGTAAGAGTGATATCTCAGCCTGAAATCCTAAGAAGCAAATCAAAGTCTGATGTACTTAGCTTCATCTTTTGCAGGTATAGACTTTCATGAATTGCTTGAGATTCCACAAGGAGAGCGTCGCAGGTACCATGACGATGTTTCTGTGATCATTATTTCGTTGGAAGGTAGGATATGGCGTTCGTCTGTGTAAATACTCGAGTAAAAAAAAAAAAAAAAAAGACCTTTTTTCTTGAAATTCATCTCATTTTTGCCTTTTAAGTGTAGTAAATGTAATATACCAAATAGGTTTTTGCCTTCTTGTAATATAGTTCAGCTCTAATATGGGAAGTGTGAAAATATTCTCAATTTGCTAATCAATTTTTGAAGGCCTCCATTGAATTATTTATAATTTACTGGGTTATATTTATACCGACAGTCACATGTAAAATAATAAGTAATGAATAAATTTTTTTAAGTCGGATTCAAAACAAGCTCGAATCCCTTCATGAGTGTCACTAGCATTTTAGGTAATAAGACATGAAGTATATGTTAATGTGACTTAAGGGGTTTAATTAAAAGCTTAAATCATCTTCCATTAAAAACAGTAAATTATAAATCAGTCCTTCTATTTTTGGAAAACTAATTAATTAGTTCTTGTTTTAAAAACTAGTTATTTAGCTGTTTAACTAGTCTTGATTATGTTTAATTTAGCATTATTTTATTTTAAAAATGTTATTTTTTCTCACCAATCCTTCCATATTTTTTTAATTAATTTTTTCTATTTTTTAAAACAAAAAATTAAAATAAACTAAAAACAAAGAAAAATAAAAATATTAGGATTAAATAATTAGTTTTTAAAATAAAGATGACTAATTAATTTATTCCTCCAAACTAGAGAGATTAATTTACTTATCAATAAGATACAACAAATATAAAAATGCATGGAAGGCATTGAAGTTGGGAGGGATGATGGTGATAGTCAACGAATTTCACAATTAATTAATTTCTCTTCAATCTCTAACACGTTTTTCTTTAAATTATAGACCAATCCATCTAATCCCTTTTCTGTTCCAGAAGCAAAGATCTCAGACTTTTTAGTTCTTATAAAAATTTGGGAAAAAAAAAAATGGGATTACGACTTGAGAGACGATATTAAAAATTCAAAGTCATCTGTTCTTAATTACTGTTTAACGAGGCAGTTCACTGTCTCTATGTTAATCCTTCCATTCTAACACCATCAAAATTTGATCCTAAGGATATGTTTTTTGTCGTAAAAAATGGATTGAAGAGAGGATGGATTGGAGAAAGTGAAAAGAAAGAGAAGAGAAGGAATGCATGACTTATCATTCATCTAGCTGTTTGACTAATAAAAAGGAAAAAAGATGACAGTTCCATCAATTCAAATTGAAAACGTTGGAAATTATAAAAGAAAGAGTAGGATCCAGTCTGTTTAAATTGGGAAGGTTGGAAATTATAAGCAAAGGAAGGATTGGAAGGCTTCCTCCAATTCCTTGTTGGGTCCTTGTCCTTCTTGTCAAATGAAGGATACACTCAATCCCTTCTTCTCATTCCTCCCCTTTTTATCCATCCTTTTCTCCAAAAATTTTATATTATTTCATGAATAACTATTGTAAGTGCATAGTAACTATTTTATCAACTCACTTATAGACATATGGGATCCACCAAAACTGATAAAAAAAATTTCTAACAAGGCTTAATTTTTTTCTCTCTCTTCTATTTATTTATCTTCTTTGTGTTATATCTTTTATATAAAATATGGATTGATAGTTACTCTTAAAATAATATAATTTTTTTTCCATAAGGGATAATTATCTGTATTTATTCAATGATTTCACTTTGAGGAGAAAAACCAATATAAAAAATAAAAAAGAAAATTAAATATGAATTAACTAAAAATGATATATATAAAATTTTTCTTCCTTGTATTTTGCTCCTCTTTTTTATGTAATAAATGTGGATCAATCACTACGTCACTATAAATTTTTAGAACAATATGAAAAAAATAAATTAAAATACTAGAGAAACAATACTTATTCCATTGAAATGAACGCAGAAAGAAAGAAAGAAAAATCATATTTGGATCCATAAATATTAATCAAAATATTTCTATTTCAGCTATTTTTTTTTTAATTCTCTCTCTCCTCTCTTTCTTTCTTATTAAATATTGTTACTTATTTTTTAAGTACCATAATTTACTATAGATTGGGTAAAGAAGAAACAATGGCAGGTTTATAATCTAATTGTTTTTTTTCTTTTCAATATATAATAAATGAATGCATAGGTTTTAAAATAGGTTTAATAGCGTAAAACGTCCCTCTACTCTTGACATTTTCCTAATGTGGGCCATGTGCTTTTTTTCTTATTCATCACCTCCTTATACTCTTTAATTTTTTTTAATGTGCCCCTCTCGTTAAAATCCAGTGATTTTTTCAATTGGTAATGACAGATGGTAAAAAATTACTACGTGATGTGACACATCAAATAAAATTTATCACATGACCTAAACTTTTTACATGCATAACCTTAAAGAAAAAAAACCAAAGTATAAAATCCCTTTGATTTTTCTCTCTCCTCTCACGATTGATGAATCGTTGTTTGATCTAGATGAAAAAACCCTAATCATCACACATTTGCCTTCGAAAAACCCTAATCCTCGCATATTTACCTTCAATTTTTTGTTCACCATCGATTCGGAGGCGATCAAACCCAAAATCCTTTGATTGTTTAATAATCAAATCCTTAGGAAAATCCCCAATTCAAGACCCTAAATACCTTATCCAATTTTTTTAACGTCAAGTATATGTTATTATTGGTTGAAGACTTATCTTTGTTGTTCCCTAACCAATTTCAATTGATTCTTCGTTTCTCTTACTTTATATAGTGATAAAGTGAACAACGTTAAAGAATAAGAATATCCGGCCAAAAAGTTAAGTTGCTTTGTCCTCCATTGTTAGTTTATTATAGCTGTGTTATTTTATTAACCGAGTAGCAATCCTTTTTATTGTAGGGACAACTTAATAACGTAATAAAATATACAACAATACAAAAAAGGAATAGATTATTGTTTTGGGAGCCTCACTGTCTCATGTGTGTGGTCCTTGCTTTGTCGTTATTTTGTCAATAAGATAAATTTTTTATTCTCAATCAACTTATTATGTTGTATATTGTTTTAGGACTCGATTGTCTCATAGGTTAACTGTGGTTAATGTTTTTTTATTAGTTATGTTTGATAGATGAAGACATTTACTTGTTCATTTGGATGGGTGTGTGAAAAGGTTAGTGGGCCTAATGGGTTTATGGGTTGAATACGTTGGTGGATATGTGTTTAAAAAGGAAAATATTGACCTAGAGTTTTTGAGCTTTAGGACCTTCTTAAAATTAGCAAAGGAATTTGGTAGAAAGGATATTGTGTTTATGTATTACAATGATCCTTTTGCCATACCACAATCCCAATCGTTGTTTCGATAGGGTTGTTAAGCTTGATAGAAAAAATTATAAAAGTTGACATTTATTATGAATATGGAGGTAAAGACCACCTATTACTCAATGAGGGTAGTCCGTCTAGAGTATGTCAAAGGCTAAGGATTACCGACTATGGCCTTAGCTTAGGTTGTTAAGAGAAAGGAACATGATGGTAAATTAAATAATGATAGGGCGAGTAAATAGAGAAGAAGACACTATAAGAAAATAGGCAATTAGCGATAGAATTTAGCGATGAATTTATTTCCATCCCCATTTACCTATTTCATAGTAACCGAATAGCGATGAAATAAAAAATAAATCATTTTACGATGGATCAACGATGGTTTTGAGATAAAGAATTAATGACAAAATGGTTTACGCCCTATGGGATTCGGTACAACGGAGTCTACCCGTCTCCGATTCGTGATGGACAACATTCACGTCGACAATTATGCAAAATTTGTAAACAAAATTAGCGAGTTGTAGAAATTTCAAATTAGTGATGGATACGATTGTTCCGTCACTAATTAATGACAAAATAACTATGAAAATGTGTCCATCACAAATTTAGGTAAACTTCTCAATCATTCCGGACGATTCGAGTGGACGTTTGAAATTCAAATTAGTGATGGATACTTATTTTCATCACTTAATAGCGACATATTGGTGACGAAATGTGTTCGTTGCTAATCCTAAACCCCTTTAACTTCCAGTCTCTTTCTCTTCCCCCTTCCCTCTCCTCCTCTCCTCCTACTCGCTGTCGCCATCCCTAATATCCCCAAACCACTCACCCACGCCACCCTAGTCCTTTCCCATCCCACTTAGTTTGGCAAGGCATAACTTTTTTCCCGAGATCCGTCACTAGTCTCTTTTCTCCCTCATTTCCTTTGGTAATTTGTTCTCTCTCTCTCTAGATCTTTTATTTTTTTAATTAGATTAATGTGGTTAGTTACTAGGTTAATCTTGTTAATTATTAATTATTTTTTATTAATTAGTAGGTTAAAATTTTGTTAATTTGTTATTTTTTTATTGTTTTTATTAATTGCTAGGTTAATATTAATTGTTAATTTGTTATTTTTTTATTTTTTTTGTTAATTGTTAGGTTATTATTAATTGTTAATTTGTTAATTTATTATTTTTTTATTGCTTTTGTTAATTGTTAGGTTAATATTAATTGTTAATTTGTTAATTTATTATTTTTTTATTGCTTTTGTTAATTGTTAATTTGTTTGTTGTTATTTTAAAATATAATTAACATTTCAATTAGGATTAATATTATAATTAGTTAGGATTAATATGATTAAGTTAATTTGATTTAAGATTAATTTAATTATGATTATTTGAATTGATTAATTGATTTTTAATATTAATTACGAGTCTAAATGTTTAAATAATTGATGTTTAATATTTAATTGGTTTTGAATAAGGGTTAATTTTAAAATGGTTATTTTTATTAATTAGGTTTCGATATTTAAAATTTAGTAAATTTTTGAATTAGAAATAATTTTATTATGTTTAGTTAAAATTATTATTAAATTAATTAGATAAATTTTGATTATAATATTGTAATTTATTAATTACTATCAATATTTATAATTTAGTAAACATTTGAATTAGAAATAATTTTATTATGTTTAGTTGAATTTATTATTAAATTAATTAGATAAATTTTGATTATAATATTGTAATTTGTTAATTAAATTGTTATTTAAAATTTAGTAAACATTT